AAAAAAAAAAATGTATTAGGGAGCTAGATATTTAAATATTCCTATGGCGTTCTTATTACAATAAAGATATCACCCCTACCTGATCTTAGAGAGCTTGTGCTTTCTCCTATATGTTTGTCCAAAGCCAGGACTCTTACAGAAAAATTTAAATTATTTTTTGAATAATCCTATAAAAATATAAAAAAACATCCTTAGCTTGAGGACATACATATCAGAACCTATATTGCAAACCCTACTCTAGAATGAATTCCACTTGTTTTTTGACTTGAACAAAATTTCAGAAGTGGATGGAACCTAAATTCTAGATTGTGTTTTTGTTTGTTTTTTCTTTTAAGAGAGTGAATTTTAAGATAACATTGGAATGGTTTGAGTACTCCTCTCATCCTTTATACTCAGCTCTGTGACTTGGGCCAATTACTTAACTAGTGAGATACTCAGCTTCTGCATATGTAAAATGAAACTAATGCTGCCAATCTGATAATTTTAAATATATATTTTTTAAGATTTATTTATTCATGCATACAGAACTGGGGTTCAGGCCAGAGGCTCAGGGGCACAGACAGAGTGGGGAACAGAACAGGCAGATCGACGAAGTACACTGCTGAGGGGAGCAGCAGGTAGGTCAGGAGAGGTCTGCCACACCATGTGGTCACCTCCGGGGCAGGCGGGAATTGAACTCATGTGGAAGCGGCTTTAGATTTTCAGTGCTGTGCTTTAACCTGCTACGCCACCAGGGAGGGCCAATTTTAAATAATTTTTTAAAATAAATTTAAAGAAAAAAACATGTAAAGTACTTGCCTAGAGATTATCACATCATAAAATCTCAAGAAATATAACTTCTGTTCCTTCCTTATTTCATAACACATCTCAGTCCTTTCTCACTTTAACTGTTCTAGTAAAATTACAGACCATATATTTGTAATACATTATCTTGGTAAAAAATGTTACTTTGAACTTATTTGGGTCAATTTATCCACATTTGATTGTTTGGAACAGATTATTGACTTCTTCATATCAAATCAGCTTCTACTAATTGCATTCATTCAAAGATTTCTTCAGTAGTGCCCCATAATTTGTATTATAAAGACATAATGAGAGATGCCAGTGGGAAAAGCTTCATGAGGACAAATTTTAGAGAATTTATTCAAATTTCAAAGAAATTTTATTACATATTACATATGCATTACATATATAGTATTTTTTTCAGTAGCCTTCACGATAATTTGAATTTTATCCACAGTTTTTTGTTAAGACTACCATTATGCACCCATTTTCAGAGCACCTAATGTATAAAGCCTACATTAACAGATCTGAAGGGAGAACTAGAGAGTAATATAATAATGGTAGGGGACTTCAATAACCACTTTCAGTGACGGTTAGAGCATTTAGACAGAAAATCATTGAGGAAACACTGGACTTTTAGTACCTCAGATAAACCTATCAGACATATATGTAAAATATTTCATCTGATAGTCACACAATGCATATTGTCCTCATGCACACATGGAAGATTCTGAAGGTCGTGTTGTACCATTGAAAAGTCTAAACTTTAAGAACACTGAAATCATTTCTAGCATCCTTTTCCAGCTACAGTGACTTGAAATTTTAAATTACATGAGGAAAGCTTAAAAAATATATCATAAAATAATGGAGATTAATATGACCAATGGGTAAAAAAAACCTTGAGACAACTAAAACTGAAACACAATATACTAAAACTTATCAAATACAGCAAAAGTAGTACAAGAAGGATGTTTATGATTATAAATACCTACATTAAGATGCAAGGAACTTTTAGCAACCTAACTATATAACTCATAGTAAAAAAAAATCAATCACTCTAAGCGCAACTCCAGTAAAAGGAAACGACATTGTATATTCTTTCTCTGCCCCTTTGAGTTGTACATATTGCCAGTTTTACCACCCTGGATTATCTTTCTCAAGGACCTGGGAAAGGTCCATGGACTGACATTATAATCATCCTTTTAAAATGTAATTATTAAGAAAGGTGGTTTTTCTCTTCCCTCCCCATGCCACCCCTAGCCACTGAGAAAGGGTAGGAACTTAGATGACCCATCACATTGCCAAGCCTTCCCATATCATCCTCTGGCATTTTTTTGCTAGCCCAATCCCAGCACTTAAAATCTTACCTGCTTTTTGTTTCCATGGTGTTGAATTTAATCTTTTTACCATATAACAATACATTATTTTCCCTATTGCAATACCCTTTAATTTGTATATATTTAACTTGTCCAGTGCAGTTTCCCTTTAGCAGTGACCAAGAGTGAAGACCCTAACATCAGACTTACAACAGAATCTTAGCTCTGTTGTACTCTACTTCACTAAACTTCCATTTACTTACAAGCAAAATGGAGAAAAGGTCTACGTATAGGATAGCATGAGTCTGGAACACATTAGGCGCATTGAATTTCAATTCTTATTTCTGGCTAGAGAAGCTTATTAGTCATCTTATTTAAAAAGTCAACATAGTAAGCTAGTATTTCTGTTTGCTGAGGTACCAATATGTGTATATGAGGGTTACTTATTTTGCAAAAAGCCTATTTAGTTTTAGAAATGAAGACAAAAGACATAGCAAATGACCAGGTCAGTGTCAGATATCAGTTACTTCTGAGACCATGTTGAGAAATAACATGTGGGGAAGAGAAACAAACTGAAATATCATGTGTTCAGACATTCTAGCAAACTATGTTCTCAAACAAATTAAGAAAACTCTGTTCTGTTTGAATCTTTTAATATCGCCTATTTAAAATATGCAAAAATAACCCTTATACTAAAAGTTAACTAGTCAATTTTCTTTTGATAGACATTATGCTTTAAAATGCAAATTGTATTACAATATTCTTATTAAAGCTACATCCTGAAATATCTCATATCCTAAATTTTAAAGAAATGCATGTGAAAAAATGTATTTTAAAATATGAAATATATTTTTTGTGGGGGGAACATGATAACATATAGTTTGGAATGACTGTATTCTGACTACATGTCAGAAAAAATGTCTACATATAATAAATCCCTATTCTGTTATGTTACATCTGTGAAACTACTTCTCCCACTTCTTTCTCTCTCCAAAAGCAATCTGAGAAAAATTCACTTGAATTGCTGTCTGACTTTTAACAATCTATATTCTGTTTGGAGACCCTTCTTACAATTCTGACTGACTTATAAAGATGACAATGACATGGATTGTGTCTGTAAGGCCGAAAATAGCTCATTGATGTTCCATTCTTAAACATAGACAAAATTATGTTTTTTAAGATTCCTTAACTCTCTTACAATCTGTTCACATTTTTATATTTATTGTTAATGGAGACTCCTAAAGCCTAGTTTATATTATTTAGGTTGTTTGTCCTTACCGCCCCTTTCTGCTTGAAACACTTTGAAGCTGGAGTGGTTTTACAGGAAAAGACAGTGTCTTAAGCTGTTTGAATACAGATTTAAAAAAGACATTTTGGGGTTTATGATGTCTACATGCCCACCTGGAGGGAAGGGAATTTTGAAGCAGATTAAAAAGAGTTAAAAATAATAATAATAAAATCTACATCAACTCAAGAGATAATATATGCCTATGATGAAGTAAGGATTTAAGTTGGAGAAATTTAGTTGTTATGGTCCCCAGTTGTGTGTGTTTTATCCTAAGGCACCATTTGGTTTAATGAAATGTAGATATGAGGCTGTTCGTAACCTATCAGTTTCTTAAGACTTAATTACAAAGGTTATGTTTTTAGAGGACAAAAGCATTATTCATTTGTCTGTTCATATCTTCCAGGTTTATCTTGCAGATTATGGGCTATCCTACAGATATTGTCCCAATGGGAACCACAAACAGTATCAAGAAAATCCTAGGAAAAGCCATAATGGGACATTAGAGTTTACCAGCTTGGATGCCCACAGGGGAGTAGGTAGGTTTCTTTATTCTTATTTTTATTTCAGAAACTATTTTTATTTCAGAGTAACTAGGCTTCATGAAATGACCTTTGCATAGTCAGTTGGAAAGTGAGAATTTTGGTGAGGTTTTTACCAAAAGCAGTGGATAACTATGCCAGTGAATATTTCTCTTAGCAGGGAAAGGAAATGTAGACTATGTCAAATTTTAAAAAAGGAGCAAAAATGGCATCAACTAAGTAAAACTTGATGTTCATGTGGGGCAGTTAATTACTAGTTTAAATAGGTTAAACTCAGAGGTCAGCAACTGAATTTTTATATTGTAGTCAATATCACTAGTTTGGTAAAAAAGTTCACATATGAGGAATCATTCCTATTTTTAATTGTGCCCTTATCAGAGCTTTTGAAGATACCATCTCTCAACAACAAAAAAGCTTCAGAAAGCTTTTCTGAAACTATAAAGTGTTAACTTGTGGAAATCTCTCTTAGTCGCTTTTCATATATCTTACTTATTTAAACTCACTTTGATGGTATTGGAAACACATTTGCAGGTAAATTACATACATAGTCCTTTTATTGGATATTGATTGTACTGCCTTGCATTCCAAGGCAGACTTAATTCAACAATTCCCTAATTAGTTAAAGTCATAACCTATGTCTTGTATTCATTTACCATTAATTAAACCTTAGCTGTTTATTACACCGCAGCCCAAATCCAATAGCCGACCCAGAAAGCCATGGAAAAGGAAGTAGGAGGTCAATATTGAAAATATATGGTGCAGAGTCCCACTGATGGTTGCTTTGTTCACAATCAATATGGTCAATGCAACTGTACTTTCTTAGTTGCTCTGTCAGCAAGACAAAAAGTCAATTCTAATGTTATGCTAGTGAAAAAAATGGTGATTATTGAAAAACTTTGGCTTTTGAAATTATATTCTTTGTAAACTTTGTTTATAAAAGTATGTTCAAATATGTTAAGTCATGCAAATAATTTTAAACAGCTTTGAAAGGACCACATTATTATTAAAAGCCAGTTAGACATTTGCACTTGTTAATAGCTGTTGAACTGTTACCCTAAACTGATACTTCCTAAGGAAGTTTTAGTTGGTGTATACAACTGTATATTATTGCCTTTTCTATTAAAAGGACCATTGACCATGTAATGTAGGAGGTCTTGATCATCTTGCAGAGCAATTAAAACCCAAATAGTGTAAGGTAGGCCAGTGAAAGAGGGTAACAAGTGTGTTGGTTGAGTGTCTTCTCTCAGGAAGTATCATAGGTTAAATTTTGTGTGGTAGAAATTAATTCATACTCCTGGTTAGAGTATAAGAAAACTCTACTTTTGAAGTATAGTTTGGTAAGAAAAGTAATGATCATTCACACAAACTTAGTAACAATGTATCATTTTTCACCATTTACATTGTTGATAAATCAGTGATCATTCAAAAATATAAATGGGACATGCCTTTAATGAAGAAATATAAGTAGAGTCATATGTTCAGGTAATGGTTTTCTTTTCTCAATATAAAGTTCTTTCACTCTCAGTCAGTTTTGTTCTTCATTTTCAATAGATTTATTAGTGTGAAGAACTTTCAGAAACTCCAAATTACTTTTTTGATAGTGGTATGACTAGAAATTAATTACACAGATTCTTAATAGCGGTCCGGTTACCTTCATAATTATATTAACTTATGGTTGCACAACTTTAAATGTTTAATACTGATCTGCTCTAGTTTTGATTACTATAATAGCTAAGTAACTTCTGTGGCACTGGAACGAGAAACGGAGATTGCTATATGTTGGTCTGGTCAGTGTTTGTTTGGACTTGGATAATAATTCTGAAGGTTTAATTCCGAAAAGTTAGGGCAGTATTTTAATTTTGCTAACTTTATGAATGCATGGAACACATCTTTTTTCTGTAGTATATTTTAGGTTTTTTGCCTTAAATTCTTGTTGATGAGTTGGGTAAATTTTGCCATGCTGGGTCTTTGAGAAGACTGAGTGAAGAATGATTTGGTAGAAGATAATACCTACCTGGGAGTACTACTCAATGGAAAACCTCTTTACTTATTTTTGGTAGTTTATGGGAAATTATATGCTGGCTTGAATATTCATTATTATCTTAGGCTTTACAAGATTGCTGTAAAAATATAGATTCCAATAATGCACTCAAAATAGAATTTAAACAAATATCCATGCATATAGAGAGATTGGTACACTTTTGTGCATAAATATACACACATGCATGTGTGTGTGCATACATATAAATAAACACAGACACATGTACATGTATATTTTTTTGCCAAAATGTTAACATAGTTTTAGTGTAGTATATAAAGTGATAAGCTTTATATCTTCAAATGTTTAACTGCTATGCATTTCTAATGTTTTGCATTTGATCTTCCAAAATAAAACATTTCATTTTAGGATATTAGAAATGAAATAATCCTTTAGTTATATCTAGAAACCAAATCAGTTTCATCAATATTCACATGCTTACTTTCCATACTATTTAATCTCAGAAAAATCTTTTCTATAGCAGTCTAGCTATGAGATCAGATACATACTGAGAAAGATAATGCAGAGGAAAACATAAGGAGCAAAACAAGTTATCACTATGAAATAGAGCCTGTAGTTGTGAGAGCATTTGCTCTGTGTCAGGTATATATGTATTTAGTCAGGTACCAGGAAATGTTCAGGACTCAATGTAAAACGGACTTATAAATTAGCCACTTAACCGAGGCTGTTAACCTGATCAGACTGCCCAGTCCTGCTATTTGTTGTAATGGTTATTCAGAAACCAAAGCTAATGCTTATTTTTCCGTGGCTTCTTATAATTAAAGAGCTTGTGTAAGGTGCCACAAACATTGTCTAGTTCAGCTGTATACAAAAGGATAAGTAGCTTGCATTATTACCAACTAAGAAGTATGAGTAAACATATATTGATATGGATGGACAGATGAACAGATGGATGAATGGATAACTATTCCTGAAACATCATACATCTTATCTGCATGTTTTTTAAAAATTGCAGTTAGTCTTCCAAACTCAATTCTCTTCCAAACTCAATTCTCTTGTATCACCTAAAGGTATTTTCTGAGTAGCTGAAGTGTTTCATCTAGTGTAAAACTAGAGTAATATATGTTGGCCTTATTTCATCTATATTAATTTTTTGTTCTTCATAAAAGCTAGCATGTATAAACATTGACATCTTTTGGGCTTGTTGCCTGATAATTAAAGAGAATTATATCTGTGTCAAATATGCTATTTTAAAATTTGTTACATTCTTAGTAATGTTAAAAAGCAATATTTGGATCAATGTGTGGTATGGATTTTTGTAGATTTTTCTACTCACTGAGGCATGCAGTCAATACCTAATTTCTCTGGAGATATACAGCATTTAACATATTGAGTTTTTTTAAATACTTCAGACCTGTGCATTGAGTGTATAATACCTGTTTTAATTTGACATCATTGATGACCATAAAATATATCTGAATTGCATTTTAAATGTCCATTTGTTTATGTAATATATTCAGTATCAGGGAGAGGGATACATTACATACTTTCCTTATTTTTGCCAATTGCTATGGTGTATTAAATCTAAATTGTGTTATTTCTTGCATGGTTTCATTTCACTTTAATCTAGCACTCCAACTTTCAAGCTATGTGAAATAAACTGAAAATGTATTTTTATGTTACCAACTTGTGGATATGGCATGGCTTACACAGAATTAATTTTCTTAAACAATCCTTTAAAAAGGGTACCCTTTTTTTTTTTCCAGTTATAATGTTAAGGAAAACCAAATCACTGACAAGCTCTGTTAGAAGTCAGCAACACATACTCTTGATTTCTATTTTGAAGTAAATTTGACTCCTATTGTAATCTTTGGTTGTTGTAAGAATAAACAGTAATGAAGACACTTTTTTCCATATGACATAACACAATTTTGATATTTAGCTATCAATTTTAGTTCCTTCACATAAGTCATTTTTTTTAAAAAAAATTTATTTATGCATACAAGAACTGGGGTACAGGCCAGAGGGGGGTTGAATGGGTGAGAGGATTCACCAGAGACAGATTGCAGAGCAAAAAAGGCAGATGTACTAATATACACTCACTGCTGAGGGGAGCAAGCGGAGAGGACAGGAGAGGTCTGCCATGTCCTGTGGGTCAGCTTCCTGGCTGGGGATTGAACTTGTGCTGCAGTGGCTGAAGATAGCTTTACAGTGCTAAATAAGCTTTAGCTTGTTGTGCCACCAGGGAGCACCCCAAAGAAGTCTTAAACTATGTAGTTGCTTTAAAATACACATTGGTCAAATATAACATACCTTTTTTGTTGACTAGCTTTTCCTAAGCCATATGCACTAGTGCTTCGCAAAAGTTTAAGCCTTTGAATTTAAAAGGCACTGATTAAATAAGAGAGACCTAAGTTCAATCTTTTATTTAAAATGTATTCAGCGTTCCCAGTATCATTTTGGAAAATGCAGTGGCCACCATACAATTTTCTAGGTATTTTATAGATTTGAGCAGACAGAAAAAACTGAATAAAGTTTATAATAATCGCAAAGTAAGAATGTTACAAAAAATATGAGTAAACGTTAGACTTAGGTCCCTCCCTGGTGGCGCAGCGGGTTAATGCACTGCAAAAGAAGCCTAAGCCACTTCCGCACGAGTTCGATCTCCTCCTGCCCCGAGGAGATCCACATGGCGTGGGAGACCTCTCCTGACCCACCCGCTGCTCCCCTCAGCAGTGTACTTCGTCGATCTGCCTATTCTGCTCCCCACTCTATCCCTGGTGAATTCTCTCACCCTCTGCATCTCTGGCCTGTACCCCAGTTCTGTATGCATAAATAAATCAATCTTAAAACAAACAAACAAACAAAAAAAACTTTAGATTTGTTCTGCAAATTGTCACAATTTCATTTGATGAGCATCTTACTGTTATTTCTGACCATATAAACTAAATCTTTCGGACATTTCATTGAATCTTGTCTACAAAAGTTTTCAAGTTTATTATTTCCTGCATTGTAAGAAATAAACAAAAACACTAGGTAAACACATCTATACTCCCACCCCACCCCCGCCATTCCTCTTTCATTCCACTTGGTGAATTGTACCCAGGTAAGTTTACCGTCATTTGTCTTAAGAATAGGGACCAGTTCTCTAAAGTAACGTTTCTATTGTCCACATACCATTTTGAATTACATCTAACACTTTATAAATTAAATGTTTTCACTAGAACCCTTCTTCATCACAACAAAGAAGTTTGAAAGAAACAGCCTCTTAAAAGTATAGTTGCCGAAAAAGTTATCCCTATTGCAGTAGCTAAGTAGTTAGGAGATTGAGCATGTTTTTGGATTCTGCAAGACTTGGATTTCAGCAGTTTTTGCTCTGTGATATTGAAGCAGTTATTTAACCCTTCGAACCTTTATCTTCTTATTTGTAACAGAATAATAATACTGGTAATAGTATTAGGGTGGTTCAATGAGATTATATAAAAGCAGCTAGAGTGCTTGACATAGTAGCAGCTCTATAAATTACATCAATTGTTTTTATTTTAATTATGCAGCCTAGTGTCAGCTGTTTCTGGAATCTGTTTTCTAGTGGAAAAGAATTCAGATCTCTGCTATGCCTTTTTGTAAGTGCTGCTTAGCAATTGAGAGACCACAGACTTTGAACAGAATCATTTACAGTGCTCTAATTAATAAGAAAAATTAGGTGCTAATTTACCAATACCTTTGCCAATGTATTTTAAACATCTCTTTTGTATTAATTATATACATATACATAGATACTAATGTTGTATATTAATCATATAGACTTTTTTAATTAATAGCTATTACACTTACTTTTTGATAGTAACAGTGTTTCCAGTAGATGGAAACAACAGTCATCAGATTTTAAAGTCATTAAAACACATCAAATTCTTCAATTTGATTCTCTGGAAGGGACTTTCAAGTAGAAGTGTGCATTTAGAACTGTTTTTAGTACTTTTATCTCACTCTTCAGTGGTAGGAAAGACTGATGATAGGATTTTTTTTTAACATTAGAGATATTTTTGTAGAACTTAGTGAATTCAGTGGTGAAGTTCATCTAACCATAGATATTAATATATATGTATAGTGAAAGAAACTAAATAAAAGACTGAAAAATGCAGTAATGTATTTTAAGTCATTAATGACAAACTATAAAAGTAAAGTATAAAGTTAACTCCCCAAGGGCTATTTCAAGTGAAGACCAGTTTATGAAAGATTGGCTTCAGAAATCTGACTTGATGTTATTCACCGCTTCATGTCAATTAATCTGTTGGAGTGGGAGGGTGAAGAGAATGTCTGGGAAGGTATATTCCATTTGAATCCTGATTGTTTTCATCAGAAGGCTCCGCGTGTGTGTGTGTGTGTGTGTGTGTAGCCTATGTCTTCCAAATAGGTGCCAGATTATCAGTTTTTGAAAATGAGAGGATGTGATTTTTTTTTTTAAGTGGTGGTAACAAGGAATTGCCATAATGGACAAGGGACTTGGGAACACATCTGTACAAATGGAACCATTCCATTATTAATGGGAGATTTATTATTGAAGAAATCACTACAAAACAGCATGGTAGAGACTGTGTTTTTATTTTAACAGGAGAGCCAAGTCTTGCATTAGGACATTGTTGAAGCTTATGCAGAAAGTAAATGGCTCCCATGAGACTGTAGTGTTCTGCTAGATTGAAGAGCCTTTAATAATCCAATACTTTAATAGCAGTTAAGACCGAATATGTGGAAGAGCTTATATTGTCTTTTGCTTTTATAACTTATACATAACAACCAAAAGTAGTTATGATGTGCAAGTAGCACTGATGGTAGATGACTTTTTAAATGATTAAGTTTACTGAGTAACTTTTCAGAGTTTAATGAAAGGTAATGAAACAGGATACCTGTTTACAGCAGGTTTAACAGGCTTGTATTACACGTAAGAGATTGTACACGCTTTCACAGGCGAACATTCAGCAAGGTAGAAATGTAAATTTCAGCCTAAATTTTATAACAATTAGGAATACAATAAAATGACATTTATGTTTTCATATTTCAATCATTTCATTTACTTGCTAATAACTATTAGCTATTTTTGATGTGTTTCTTGGATTTGATTACCCATCTTTTAAAATAAAGAACCTTATATATGTAAAAGTATAATGACATTAATGACAGCACTTACTACTTGATATAAATGATTTCTGTGGTCTAAAAATGTACTTTTTTAAATGTTAATGAAAAGCCATTTTACATTAAATTCTGAAAGCCTCTGACTGGCTTCAAAACCTGTTCCTCACCACCTCCGCTGCCACCTTGCATATGGGTTCAGAACTTTAGCTGTATGCTGCTTCTTTCTACAAATAACAGTGGTAACATTTTAAAACCATGTACCCCAAACAGACATTTTATCCGGTACTTTTCTGTAGTTGGAAAATGTTGAGGCAGACCACGTTTTAATACCGTACACTAGATGGCAGTTTTGTCATACTCTTCCAACTTCAGATACCACTCGTGCGAGTGGAGCAGGAAAGGCCATGAATGTTTAGTCTGCACGCAGAGGGTCTCTGCATGACCAGTGCAGACCCCATGGACTTCCTGGAACATGTGTTAGCAATTTAGCTGCAGACATTTATTTCTTTGTTTTACTGCTTGGCTCTTTGAGAAAGTGTTGGTGCCAGGTTATGGGTTGTCTGGATCATGTCAGAGGCCATGGAGATCAAGTTCATGTGACAGGCCAGACTAAGGAAGGATGAAGTTGGAGGAGGTAAAGAAACTGACCCTTACTTTCAACAGCCACAAGTCACTGCCTGTCTGTGGACTGGAGCCAAATCCGGGGGGTTTAAGTTTTACTCCAGCTGAACAAACAAAACACGTTGCCCATTTGGCTTTTTCATATTTCATCAATAGCAGTTCATTCAACAATTTCTGTTTCTCGAAACTTGCTTATCCATCATCCTTCTCAATATTTACTCCTATAGCTCTGTCCAGACGAAGCGACCTTGAAATCCTCGGCTACTGCATGCTGCAGTGGTTATGTGGGAAGCTGCCCTGGGAACGGAACCTGGACGACCCCGTGGCTGTGCAGACTGCTAAAACAAAGTACAGATTTTCAAGTATTCCATCATGTACTGCAACAGGTCTGAGGGGATACATTAAAGGGAGCTAGTATCCCGGAGAGGACTGCCATTCACCCAACATGATAACCAAAGTGAATTTCTTTAATTTGAAAAATATTTAAAAAAAAAAAAAAACACCCAAAACAGCTAACAGACATAAAAATCCATTAAGGCAGCACCTATGAAATCACTCCTAGGTGAATTGTAATGCAAAATGTAAAGTGAAATATTTGTTCTCTTACATGGTGTTTTCCAGAGCTTAGGGTCTAAGTGGTGATATTTTCAAGGAATAGTAGTTTCAAAGTAGCATTTCAAAAATATAAGGAGGTAGCCTGAGCATGGTGTGATTTACACTAACTGTGGAAAACCAACAGTATGAAACAGGAATAGGGCTTACATTTTTCCAGTAAGAGTAACATACCTTATTCTTAATCCTATGTCTTGAAGGGAGTATGGTTTGTTTCTTAAGGAAAAAAAACAAAATTTCATGAGGTATTTTTATACAAGAGGTCATCTTATAACCACATAGACATTTTTAATATTTCACTTTCATTTTTTAGCACCTAGATGCTGTTAATTCTGAGAATTAGGTCAGACTATGAACAGAATATGTTACTGTTTTTTCACTGATCAACTTAAGTCAGTTGCATGTAGCACAAAATAGTCGGTTTTCATTATATGCCAAGATAGACTCAGAAGTATTTATCCACAGATTTAATATCACAATTGCAAAAAACAACTATGTTTTAAGTAGGGCAAGTAACAACACAAGTTTACAAAAGAGGAAGCTGATCCATAGAAATCAATCTTCAAATTCAGTGTGACAGCAGTTCTTAACAGAAAGACTAGACTGCAAACTCCACATATTAAAAATTACATTTGTAAATACTGACATATATTTCTCCACTTGGAGTCTTTATCCATCCTGCTCTCTTACCTACAACTAACATATTTAAGTCAGTATTAGTACGATTTAATCATTTATTTATTGCAGTGATTAATGTGTCCATATTAACCCTCATGTAACTGACATTTTTCAAAATGTGGGTCAAGTTAAAGCTCAGTAATGGACATCATTAGAGTATCTGATTCTAGCTCAAATTACCGAATTTTAATAATGTAGTTTATTTATTTAAAAGGTTAGCACCTTAACTATTGTATGTGTATGTTCTCTTATAAGACATGATTTTTTTTTTTTGTATTTTACTGAAATGCATACACAGGCACATTCAGTGTGTGTCTACAATGAATATGCCTAAGTATATTTAAGTATAATAACAGTAGCATATAAAATAATAAAATATAATGGTAATAAACATAACCTGTATAACATTTTGGGAACCCTTACACGTTAGTATCTTCATTTTGATTGGATTCCAAATATAAACTTACACACAAGTAAAGCTGATATCATAGTATCTAATTTATAATTCAGAGACATTTTAAAACTTGTTATAGTATAAATACATAATCGTAATTTTATTCAACTTGCTGAGAAGGCACTGAATTTCCCTATAAGGGCATGCTTGAATATTCAACTATAATACTCTAGCTCTCGTATGCCCTTTATTTTCCTGACACAGGGTGATATTAGATGTATGCATTTGTTATTACATTTTTTTTTGTGCCTTAGTTGTGACTCAAGCATTCATATCAGTGCTTTTAGTTGAATGTTTGTATTTGTGGCTGAAACTACTAAGAGTTGTACTTAGTCTGACACACTGGAAAGTATAAGAAAAATTGTTTTTTATTCTTATTCTTAGTTATCTCTTGTTAACTTTTTAAATAATTTATATATATATTACATCATTGTTGATTTTTTTTTAACGTTTGCTTTCTTTTATCTGGTGTAGTCTTGGCCAATGAAGAAGAATACTCACAAATAATTATAATTACTCCAGTGGTAAATACTTCATGAAAAAATATCCTAACAATCAAGAAACACTTTTTTAATGGATTTTTTCTTATTTTTTAAGAGAAAAAAAATGACAGGTATTCATGCTTCTGTAGTTCTACATGTACAGACTTTGAATGAAAGCATCTGTACTGTAATTCTACACAGTTCAGTTTCTAGATGACAGTGAGGGCCCTCCCGGGCCTCCACTAACCCTCTGTTTTCCCTCCACTTAACTTTCTTACACATTACATTCAGGTAGGTAAAGAAAGTATTTAAAGTCACAATAATGATAATCTACCAACACAGATTTCAGGCATTGTTCTCTTCTAATCAAAATAATCAAAGAATTGAAAACAAGTTGATCTTGCATTACTCTATTTTGTTTTAGCTTATTGGATGAACTCCCTGAGTCAGTGCTTAAATGGGCTTCTTCTGGAAGTGGTTGCTGTAAGTTTGTTTTTTTTTTTTTTTTTTTAAATTTCTTTATTTATGCATATAGAACTGGGGTACAGGCCAGAGATACGGAGGGTGAGAGGCTTCAACAGAGACAGAAAGGGGAGCAGAACAGGCAGATCGACGAAGTACACTGCTGAGGGGAGCAGCGGGTGGGTCAGGAGAGGTCTGCCACGCCATGTGGTCACCTCCGGGGCAGGCGGGAATCGAACTCATGAGGAAGTGGCTTTAGCTTCTCAGTGCTGTGCTTTAACCCGCTGCACCACGAGGGAGGACTGGTTGCTGTAATTTTTAATGATAACTTCAACTTTCTCCTGTCCTATTAAACAGATTGCCACATATATCACTTTTGTTTTATAGATTTTGCTTAATGTACCCACTCCCATTGCCATGGGGTGGGGGGTGGGTGGGAGGAAATTCAGGGCTTCTGGTAGACTATAGAGAGGATAGTGTTTCAGTCTTCTTTGACATTAGAATACACCACCACCACGAGGACACATTTACTCAGTTCTAGGCTCTCCTGATGGCTTTGAAAAAAATCAACGATCTCATATTTGTACAGTTGAAGAAAGAGTTGACTTAAGAAAGTCTACTTTCAATCAGTGATTGAAAAATCCAAATCAGTATATACTTTATGCTTTTAACCAGGGTTACATACAATCTGACTGAATAGTGAGCACAATTATTTTGGATTGGCAAAGGTGTATGGCCTTGGGATTTGGAATTGTTTCATAAGATGGTTTTCCCTTGCAAGTTAGTAAAGCAGGTTTTGGAATTCTAGAAGTGACAGTACCATCAGTATAAAATAGTCAATTTGGAATTACCCAAGTACCTGTCATTTGCATATCCGTGTGTGGCACATTGTTTTGTGCCAGTAATAACTGAGTTACATTGTCTTCTAAAAAGAGCCTCTCCCCTCCCATCAGGATTGCTTTTTCTCAAATGAGCTGTTTGAATATATTTCTCTGCTTATATTGGGCAAAGTAGCTTTTAGGTTCCATGGTGTCAGTTTCAAAGAGAGTTGAAAAGTAGTTATCTAAAACATTTATAGCCCACCCTTGAAACAACTCGAAATGTTCATTTTCTTAAGAAATGGGGCACAAAGTAGTTCTGTCTTACATTTCTGTTTCTCAAGTGTGAAAGTTTTATCCCAATGTAAGTCTTCTCCTTCCTCTTTTTTCCCTGATACAGGGGACAAACCTAAGAATATTTGTATTTGGAGGAATGGGTTAAAGAATGACAGGTTTTTGGTTTTTGTAATTGTACTAAGTCACAGGTCAAAAATGCTAACGATCCTTTTTGTCTAATATCAGCATGTTTACCAAGTCAGTTTTTGATTTTGTTTTGCTATTCAATAGGACAGCAAGAAAAAAGATTTGGGGGGGGGGGGCTTCTGGGTGTGTGTCTAGAGGAAAGCTATACTATTCATTTTAAGTGTAGAAAAGAAAGTCCAGATGACCTGAGTTGTGCAAGCTAAATGCATGTGGGCCAGTATATTTTCTGTGGCACTTCTGTTGTTAAAGATAAGATTTCAGCAATAAGAGATATGATGGGTCCTCTTATTCAACATTGGCTACTTATTTGAGTCTTTAATATTATTTCATTAAAAACAGATTTCTAAACCAAAACACTGAAACTTTACTATTAAGTGGAAATTTCTTTTGCAAGTCGTGCTTAGGAGAATGGGTATTGCAAGAATAAAAATTAAGCCAATTTACAAAAGGCTTATTAGTAAGATATGTTGTGAAATAAAACAGCCAAGAAGTTTGCAGCATGTTTGTCCAACTCTATGTAATAAGTTTTAAAAGTTTCTGTTTCTTGAAATGATAGTAATGATACTTAATGTTTCATTAGTTTAAAAAGCAGATACTTTGATAATACTCAAAGCATTTTATTTTATAGCTTTGGAAATATGCTATTAAATTAAAACACATACTTAATAAATCCAGATCTAACATTTTAACCAGTACTACACCACAGTAGTCTAGGCTCCAGGCTTATAATAAAAATTTTATAATGGAGGTGGCTCTCTTCTTTTTTACCCTCTCCTATCTCACTGGTCCCTCATGTTTTTCAAACTCCAGACCCATGAAGGCTTTGCAGCACAGCTGTTATTACTTGCTGGAGTGCCAGAAGTCTTCCATTGTCTCCTAACAGTGATTTGCAGAAAGTCTTCCCAATATATTCAACTCTTCCCATTAGGGATGTTTTGGTTAATGGAATTGTAATGTATACCAAACTTAGCTTACTGATCTGGAAAGAGCCAAAGAACAACAGAATATTTATATTGAAATGATAGCAAATGCAACTAATTTTTTTTTATCTTTTTGATCATTCCTTCAGGAATTTGATGTCCCACTTTCTTGACACCTCTCTTACAAATGTGATGCGACTACAGCATTAGCTAGTTAACAGAGGTCTGGCTGATTGAGTGCTGGATAATGGAGCTTAATATATTGTATACTGTAGCAAGGAAAAATGTAGGTTACATTATTACCACAGCATTCAAAAACAGAAAAACTCTGTAGCCAAGGGTTTTCATTTTAACCCCACTAGCCTCATGTTCCTAGAAAAGTGCTAAAGACAATGTGGTTGAAACATCACTGTGATTCCTGTGGGCATAAGAGAGGATGACCAATCCTGGAATTTTCCATGAAGAGGGTAGAACCCAGTGTCTCTGTAGTTCCCCTCACTCATGGAGGAAGGCCTGGAATAGGGAGTGAAGGATTAGGAAGTTTCTTCTACCAATCCAGGAAGATTGCAAGATTTTCCTGGGGTGAGATAAATAAGAAAAAGTAAGAGATATTTGTACCTGGGTCAGTAATAAGTTTTTAAAGGGGAAAGGCTTATGAAGAGTAATATGTGGAGTTTCTAACCATCTGTGAACAAATGGAAGTATGTCAGTTTTTAGATCCAGTGTGTTAAGTTATTATCATTAGTTTGAATCACCTGAAATAAAAAAAAAGCAAATTGTGTTTACTTTAGGATAGTTCACTGGTTGTTTACTGGTTCTTATAAAACGTCCAGTTCAACTTGATGAGAAAAGTGGGATTATTCTAGTTGTAGAGAAGAGATTACCAAAGGGAAAAAATAACAGGTAGCAAGGTCTTGTCCTGCTCTAAATCAAGAAGACTATATCAGGAGAGTAACTGGGTTAGCTAAATTAAGAAGACTCGATGGAGGGAGGCTCCATGTATTTGAAAGTCTAGCATGCTAAAATGCAATTCAGGAAAATGTAATTCATTTCTACATATACTATTATCAAATGTAATTCCTTTCTACATATACTATTAAAAAATCAAAATCAAAGCCTTTAAAATTTGCATTGTCTTTTTCCCTTAAAGTAGGGAGGTTTGTAATAAGTAACACATACTTGTACCTGAACTAAAATCTTCAACATAGGTATGAAATGCCTGTTTAGTGGTCATGTAATTCCTTTTTTTTAAGATTATTTATTTATGCATACATAACTGGGGTAGGTACAGATGCGGTGAGAGGCTTCACCAGAGACATAATGGGGGGCAGAGCAGGCTGACTGAGGAAGTACACTGCTGAGGGGAGCAGCGGGAGAGTCAGGAGAGGTCTGCCGCGCCATGTGGGTCACCTCCGGTGCGGGGGATCTAACTCGGCTGAAGCGGTCTTAGCTTCTTAGTGCTGCATTTACCCGCTGCACAAGGAAGGGCCCGGTCGCACGGTCATGTAATTCTTAGTAGTTGTGCGCAAATTAAGATCACCAGAATTTCTCTTTGGTAAGGTTAGTGTATTTTAAGCATATCAACAATGATAGTAAAAGAAAAATACTACTTCTTTTCATCGGGTCAGATCACTGTAGGTCACTGTATATTGTCAGTTTTGAATAACATTTAAAAAGTATTTTTCATTAAATTGTTCATCCCTTAGTTTTCTTGTGTTTGTGTTTGCATGTATAAGAGAAAGAACAGAAATAGTTGAGGATGTTGAAGTCTTGAGTTCTTACCAACATGAATAACATGTTAAAAAATTAATACTTCACAGGTGAACTAGCCCAATATTTGGTGTGTGCTCATAATTTAGCATATGATGAACAGCCAGACTATCAAATGCTTAAGGAAATTCTGAACCCCAGCGGAATATCCTTCGGACCATTGGAGTTTTGCAGTAGCAGGAGTATAAATGCACATACTCCCAACAATCAGAAAGTAAGTAATGCAGTCCCTGGGCTATGGTGACTGTCTTGAAGATTTCCTAACAGACTAAGTTTTAGGCCTCAAAGTTCATCTGACAACTGAGTTTCTTGTTTGCACATCTAATTCCTGTTTCCCCTTTGTGTTGAAAGTTCTTTTAATATACCATCTTTTAGTGTGGTCCCTTTTGTAGTCAGGGAAGTAACATTCTCTCTGATTTTGTTGAGAATACCCAGGGCAAAAGGGAAAGCTCTCTGTTTTATTTGAGTATCTTTTTTTGTTGTTGTTGCTTTTCTTCAGATTTTTCTTCAGTTGTTTCCCTCTATTGCTGCTTACCAGCTAGGCCTTAATTTGGTGCATGCTTAGATTTAACCAGAATATGTGGATGTGCCGATATTTAAATCTAAACAAACAATTCTTTGAAAAAGCTATTTTTTTAAAGTCACAACTTTTCTGTTCTACTGCCTTTCAAAAAAATGAACTCAAATCGTTTTCTAGGAGGGTGGAGAAAACCAAGATTCCTATCCATATCTAGACAGGTAACTAAAAGTCCATCTTTTCCTTGATGCTAGATGCTATCCATATACCAAAGAGTGGGGGGGGGGCTTTTTTCCCCGATGTGTATACAGTAAGGAAGGGTCAGAATGCCATTCATTTTTAATATTTCTTATGAACTTTGGATCATCACAAGTGTTCATGAGCCAAGAATGCAGGATGCAAACTAATGTGACTGATAGGCTGCGAGATGAATGGTGAGTCAAGTATCAGTGCACAGATGGTTCTGATTTGCTGAATTTTGTAGCTGCTGCAACTGAAGACATAAAATATCCTTCTAGTCATAAATTAGCTCTTTGGAAGCAAAACCTTGGCACCAGAGCTTTACAACCTTCAATTAGTAGGGAAAGAAGTATTTGAATGACTGTGGTATTGACATCTGTAGGCCTGCATAGTAATCATTCCTAATAGAAGAGAATATCTGTTTGAGGAGGTTTTGCATGGCTAATTAACTACCAGTGAGAATATGTAATTTTTTCATGATCTCCTGATTGTCACCTTTCTCTCATGATACAATTACATTTTATTGTAGCAAGTGCCTCACAAACCAATTGTCAGCACTATTTACGTATTGCAGAAGGCAGAACAAAAGTTCATGTTTAATAAAAAGCCACTGGATTTTGATCTTGGTAATTACTGAGACTTATTTTAACAGTTTTATTGACTTTTGTGTTTTTATCACTTTTGCAACAAAACAAAGAACCATTTCCTTGACAATAATGGTCACCACTTAATCTGCACTAATTTAAGTCAGTTTTTTTCCTTTTTTTGTAGTTTTTTAGTTTCATAAACTTAATTGAAATATAAAAGAAGCCATTTTGAAAACTGATAGCTGTAACCTGATATAAAATTCTAATTATTGCCCACCAGAATTTTCAGTTTCATCAAATTCAAATGATGTTTTTCTGAAACTAGTTTTATATGCAGAGAATTGAATATAAAACATTTTCCCAGTGAGCTGCCATCAAAAAATTTTATCATTCCCTTTTGATTAAAGCACTTTATGATTAAAAAGAAAACACTAAAGAATAATATGCATTCTTAAGACCTTGGTTAAATTCTGTTAACAATGTGATCAGCCTCAGTGTATCAAGAGTAAGGTGATTTGGGAATGTATTTCACAGCAGATCATTATTTTATTCACCAATGACTTTATTTCAGTAGTATTCTGAGTACACAAATACATTTAATTATTATAGTATGAAATCTGGCTTCTCCATATTGGCTAAGCCTTGTATTTTCTTGTTTTCAGTTTCCAGATTTTGTCACAGAAAAACCAAAGTTGTAAACATTCAAAACCAAAGTATTATAATATATACTGAAATAGACCTTGTTCCCCTGAGTAAATATATGATAGTTTCCAAAATTAAATGCTTCCATAACAGAAATATCTTAAGTTCAGAATGAGTATCAACCACATGACTCCAAACTTCTTCCAGTCACAGTCATCACTAACTAAAAACATTTGTGACTATGTACATGATCACTCTAGCAATTTAACATATTGTAAATTCCAGACTTGTTCTTCTAGTGTTGACATAGTTAAGAAGTCAGTGGACCTGAAAAAGTATATAGTTAGATAAATAAAATGTTACTGTGATTCAGGATTCAAAAGAAAATCGTGAATGTTTATTTTTTTAAATAAACACTGCACTCATTTCTGAGCACAAGTGGTTGTGCCTTTTAAATTTAGTATTAACAAAAATATGGCTTGGGTTAGTTATTAGAAAATTACACATCACCCTAAAAATCTCAGCCTGCTTACAGCATTCTTGCAAAAGAAAAATGAGGTATTTTTCCTATACTGGGTTTTATTAGGCATCATAAATTGTTCCCTGTAAACTGAGCTTTCTTCTTGAAGTCCTCAAAACTGTTACTGTAGTTAAAATGGAAATGAATTTTTGTCAAGATAGCAGAGACATTGATATTTTTCCTGAAATGCAAGTCTTTTGGGGGTTTTGCCTCAATCAAAATGATGGTATGTATAGCTGAAATCACTCTCTAGTACTTCTGACAGCTCCTGAGGTAGCACTGTCAAATTAGAAGAATCTATCATCAGGGCTACCCAGTCTATTTATGCCATCCGCTGGGATTTAATGTCCAGAATTCACTGAAGGAAACCATATTTTTTGTAAAAATGCTTATTGAGGTGAGGTAACACTCTAGAATTCCCAGAAGAGAATGCTAAAGCCAAGATGGAAGACCTGCATTATGAAGGCCCCAATTCAACTCCTGAATGAGCTGTTTTATCACGTTATCAATATCTCCCCTCCCTATGATCATGCCTGAACTTACATTGTAAGAGTATACTTAGGTGGAAGAGGGGCTGTAGGTCAGCACTAAAGTGTTGAAGCTACTATCCTCTATTTCAAACACAGAATGTTTGTTCCTTCACTCACCCAAAATGGAGGTTCTCATAGCAAATCCAGGGGTGAATATATTATTACTGCTAGTAGTGATTTTTGCACTGAACTTGAAATTTCAGAAAGTAGTTATATATAACTTGCCTCAATAGCTTGGGAGAGCTGAGTGGTGGAAATAAAGAACCCTTGAGTGAATAATAAAACAATTCCAATTTGCAGATTACTAAAAGGCAAAGGCTTTGCTATCCTTGAAAAGCTGGGATCCGGGAGGAAGGGTGAATAAAAAATGGTGTTGTGACAACTTGACCTAGCCACAAAACACGAGCATATTTTAAAGCAAAGGAGTGAACACACTTGGCATTAGAAGCTGAAAATTGAGAGACTACAAATTAAGGCTCTGCTTGCTCAGCCAATGTAATTCATTCTCTAGTTTGGCACTAGCTACTCCATTATTTCCCCTTATTCTCTTCCTATCTTCTGCCCTCTTATTTAACCCATGAAAAAAGGTGATGGCACTTTCAGCTGCTGTAAACATGAAGCTGCTGAGCAAATACTTCACATAAGGATCTTCACTGTGGCTTTTAATCTTCCAACTGTATTTTGGGACCTGACTTTCCATTTCTGTGTCTACTTCAAGGTTATTGAGAGTCAGTCATCCCACAGATAACACTATGGTGTGAAAAAGAAACCTTAAAGATAGCAAGCTTGTTGTAGAACATAAACTCTGATACTGGTACACAGTATTGGATGACACAAACTGTTACTCATTGATCAAAGGTTAAATTACCTGTAAAAAAAAAAAAAAAGAGAGAGACATCATAAGCCAATTCTATAGGTTTCACTTTAATTAGGCTCATGTCATTGATAGACAACTGCCTAAAATTCTAATTAATACGAATTTAAACTAAGAAGATATACTGAATGTACTCCCAGCAAAGGTTAATAATGAATTCATGTGGTTTTAAAATGTGAGTTTTCCATAAAAATGTCATTTTCAATAAACAAGTATCTGTAGAGATAATTTTCTAAAGAGTACATACAGTGACACTAATTTTAATTGGCCTTCTCCAGTTGATGAGAAAGGATCTGCATGTTGCCACCTATATTTTTTTCTATAATAATCCTTGTTTCCTGTTTATTTCTTCCCTTTTTTCAGTGGTTGGCAAGTAGAATTTTCAGTATTGGAGACATGAATGCATTTTGTTTTGAGGTGTCAAAAGTTTTCATTATATGTTACTTATGCTGTATCAACAGGTTGATTTACAAAAGGTTGCAACAAAACAAGTCAATCAGATGCAAAATAGGTTAAAAGAGAAAAAAGCCCACCATGAAAGAAGTGCTGAGTCCTGTGCAATGTGGAGAAAAATGCAGAACAAGAATCTTATTGGATCGCCTGACAATGAAGTAGCTCAGGTGAGAGGTTTTTGTTGTGTCCCCCCTCCCCCTTAATGTTACATTAGAATATGCCCTTTGGGAATACAGACATTTTATTTTCTCCTGAAGGCCAAGGTTGTATGGTTTTGTTAAATGAGAAGGGACAGAGAATATCCTATCTAAAGTTGATAAAATCAAAGCAGCCGACACCAGTTATAGAAACAGAATGACAGTGAGCACATTTGTGTACAGATCTGATTTCTTTCTTAGCCAAAGAATGTAATGAAGTGCACTTAAAGTTTTCATGCTATCTATGATCCATTAGGGACTCTTAACATACTCCGTACTTTTACATTGGTTCCTACAGTCTAACCTTTATAATCAAATGTAAGTGAAGTGTTTCCTTGTCAATATGGTTGTATTTTAAAATGATGTATTTTTTTTTTTTTTTTGTATTATTTGACCATCTGATTGGATAGTGACTCACTTTAGATAACTCACTGAAGTAACAGCAGAGTCCTTCCTGATCTAACCTTTTTTGACAAGAAGCATACAATGCATTTGTATCTGCAGTGGGGAAAAAAAAATTTCAAAATGGCCAACATTTATATAATTCATACATCATTTTCCTCACATGCTTTGAAGTAGTTTACAGTGAGAACGAAATAACTCAGTGCCTCCACTTTCATTCTTCCAGCCACCTCCCCTCCTACTCCCCACCACCCAAATATTGTTAGACCAAGTAGCTGGGATGTTAATCACTGAACTGAAAACTGAATTTGGCTCTGAACTTCTTGGCAACCAAAACAAAAATTAGAAGTGTACTAGTTAGGCATTTCTCATCCAACCAACAAGCATCTAAGTTTATCCAAAGGAAGAAATGTGTTTTAAGTACTAATAGAGCTCTCTTTCATTCAATCTGCTTTAAAATGATAGTTATTGTATTTTTAAGATTGATACAAAGAAACGTACAGTGAATGGTCACATTTTATAGTTATCACTGTGAGATTCAAAATATGTATTGCATAGTAAAATATAGATTCTTTGGTGCTTTTTCAATATATACTGTGCATCAGAATCACCTATTTTCTGGTAGAAAGCAAACACTGAAGCCGACTGTATTGCCAGATTGCTTCTTACCAAAACTGGACATCAGTATTTACTTTATAGTGGCAAAGCAGTGTTTGGTAGAGAGAGAAATTAATTTTTAATTTTATTCTGTACAGATATTTAAGAAACAAGGGCCTAACACAAAGTTACAAATTTTTGAGATGCATGTGCGTACGTGTGTGTGTTTATGTGGGTGCGGCTGTTAGAAGGGCCTGTATGCCATTTCAAATCAATTCTTGTACATGGTGTATGTAGGTGTTCAGGTTCATACCTTCTCCATAGGAAAACCAGTTGTCTCAGCACCATTTGTTAAAAGGATTTCCCTTTTCTGAACTATCTTTTAGGGCCTTTTTTCAAAAGTCAGTTCAATGTATAACTGTGGATTCATTTTTGAAATCTGTTCTATCAATCTAACCTTAAACTACCACCACACTGTATTAATTACAGTAGCTTTTATACCAAATTCTGAAATTAAGTAGTATTAAGTGCTTCACCCATTTCTTTAAGAATGCCTTGGCGGCCCTCCCTGGTGGTGCAGCGGGTTAAAGCACAGCACTGAGAATCTAAAGCCGCTTCCGCATGAGTTCAGGTCCCGCCTGCCCCGGAGGTGACCACATGGCGTGGCAGACCTCTCCTGACCCGCCCGCTGCTCCCCTCAGCAGTGTACTTCATCAATCTGTCTGTTCTGTTCCCCACTCTGTCTCTGGTGAAGCCTCTCACCGCCCCTGAGCCTCTGGCCTGTACCCCAGTTCTGTATGCACAAATAAATAAATCTTAAAAAAAAAAAAAAAATTAAAAAAAAGAATGCCTTGGCCTTAAGTTCTCATCCCCTCCACAAAATAAGCTGGTCAATTTCCAACAAAAAGCACAATAGGATTTTGAATGGGACTGCACTAAATATAAAGATTAATTTAGGTCAAACTGACTTCCCAGTATGAGCCTGAATGCATAAATCTGATTTTTCTTTTCATTTATGGTTGTCCCTCAACAATACTCTGTACTATTCAGTGTAGATAGCTTACACATCTTCCATTCAAATTACATCTGAAAATTTTGTTTTTTGAAACCCTTTTTTTTTTTTTTGCATATCCCATTTATATGTATATAGAAATAAGAATTTGCATGTTGACCTTGTCCCTTGGGACTTTAAATTCACTTACTTTTTTTTTTTATATATATTGATAGGATTTTCTATGCTCAGTCATTTTTCTGTGAGGAGATATTTCTTTACTTCTTACTTTCCAATATGTATGCCTTTCACTTTTTTTTTTTCTTGTCTTATCACACACCTGCCATGATCTCTATTTTGGATAGAAACAGAGTTGGCATCCTTGCTTTATTTATTTCATATCTTAAAGGGAAACATTCTTACATCATTTAAATATAATGGTAGGTTCAAGGAAAACATCTACTGCTAACTATTTGAGGCTGGGGAAATTTTATGGTCTCTGTAGCTTGTTCAAAGTTAAAGTCATGAGTGGGTATTAAGTATGTTTTAAAAACCTAGTGGGATGATCTTGCGATTTTCTCCTTTACTAGCATAATGAATTGCATTGATTTGTGAATGTTAATTAGCCTTTTATTTCTGGGGTAACCCCACTTAGTCATAATGTGCTAAGATTGAATTCAATTTGTTATTATTCCACTAAGGATTTCCATATCATATTTGATTAAAGATAACTGACCTATAATTTCCCCTTCTTGTGATACCCTCATGTGGTTTTGTTTTCAGGTGTTATGAGTTTGAAGTGCCTACTTTAGAAAATGTTTTAGTGAGCTCTGTCTTTCATAGGTGTTTGACAAATTTAGCAATAAAACTATCCAGGTCTAGGTTTTTGTTGTAAAAATATCTTTAATTATTATGAATTCACTTTCTACAAAAGATATTGTGATCATGAGATTTTCTTTATTTTGTATATATTTATTTGTATCTTTCAAGAAATATATCCATCTCATCTAATTTGTCAAATATTTCAGTCTACGTCCTTAATGTTTATATTTTAGACTCCTATTACTTAATGAAAAAGGAGTATTAAAATTTCCAACTGTAATTGTATATTCACTTATTTCTCCCTTTATTTAAGTCTTTGCATTTTTTGCTTTGTTTAGGTGCATATACCACAATGTGCCATGACTTCATATACCTTGCCACATAGAATGTAAGAACTTTACACAAACAACATTTTTATTTATCCCCCATTTTTTTGGCAATTGTGATACATTTTGCTTTTACGTTTACACTTAATTCCATAATACATCATTTTGCTTTTAAAAGTCAGTTTTCTTTCAGAGAAATTGAGGATAAAATCTTAAATACCTAGTCTTTACTGTTATTGGATTTCCACAGACCTGAGTTTACATTTGGTATCATTTCCCATCGAACTAAAATTCCTTTAACATGAATTGTAGCATAGTATAGATTCCTGCAGACCAATTTTTTTTAACCTTCTGTCTTGCTGAAAATCTTCATATCACCTTTACTTTTTTTTGGTATGGGGAGACTGGAACTATATTTTACTTTGAATTTTCTTAACATGTTATTTTGAATTAACTATAGACTCAGAAGTTGCAAAATTAATATAGAGAGTTTCCATGCATCTGTTACTCTACTTCCCCCAACTGTATAATTTTCAAGACAAAGAAGTAACATCAGTGTATTTCTATAAAATGTAGACTTTAAAAAAAAAAAAATAGGACTACAGTGAGGTACAGGAATCCCAATTCTGGGTGTAGATGTGTAGATGCAAAGTAAATATAAAACTGTAGACTTTTTCAGTCACCCATTTTTACATACACATTACAATGTATATCCTATAAAATGTTACTACAGGTACAGAAAAACCATTATAATCATCCTGTGGAGCTGAACATGAGCACAAAGGGCACAAAGAAACTCCCTCATGTACTTTTATTTTAAAGATTTATTTATGCATACAGAACTGGGGTACAGGCCAGAGGTTCAGGAGTGGTGAGAGGCTTCACCAGAGACAGAGTGGGGAACAGAACAGGCCAACTGATAAAGTACACTGCTGAGAGGAGCAGTGGGCGGGTCAGGAGAGATCTGACGTGCCATGTGGATCACCTCCGGGGCAGGCATAATCGAATTCATGCTTAGGTAGCTTTAGCTTCTTAATGCTGTGCTTTAACCCACTGCACCACCAAGAAGGGCCCCCTCATGTACTTTTACTGTGACATCTTCTCCCAGTCCTAAGAGCTGGAGCCTTAGTCCATTCTGCATTGTTGTAATCTTGTCATTTTCTGCATATATCAAGCATAACAATAACAGTGCATAACTTGTGGGGACTGGATTATTTTATTCTCCCCAGTCTGCTTACATCTAAATTTTACATGTTCAGTAGTTCATTCCTTTTATGCTACATAATATTCTGCTGTGTGGATGTAGTGCTGAACATGAACTGCTTCCGTGTTTTTCATTTACGTTAGGTGTTGGTTTTTGATCAGGTTGAGGAAGCTTTCCTCTATTTTTAATGTATTGAAAATGTGTGTCATTGATGAATGCTGAATTTTGTCAAATGCCTTTTTAATTAATATGTTCATGACTCGTTTACTTTTATGCTGCTTACCATGGTGAATGACATGGATTAGTATTTCAGTCTGAACTTGTTTTATAATTCACCAAATCCACCACCTTTGGTCATGCAGCATTCTTCAGATATGTTGCTGAATTCAATTTGCTAGATATTGTGAAGGACTTCTGTATCTCTTCATGAGGGCTATCAGTCCATTTTTCTTAATTGTACTCTTTTTGCTATCAGAATAATACATTCTCTTGTAATTTCTAGAAAAGAATGAGTGGAATTTTGTTCCTTTTTAAAATGTTTTAGAGAATATTCCAGTGACAACATACAGACCTGGAGTGTTCCTTTTTAACTGTGAACATAGTGAACTTTTAACTATGAACTAGCTCC